TATAATAATTTTTATGCAAGATGTAGGAATTTTATAATTATTTATATAGTGATTCTGGTTTTACATAACCCATAGGGTCCTGTTGAAGTGTGAAATATGTCAACATCCCCTACTTCACCAAAAATGTCTAATAAAATTCCTACATCTTGCATAAAAATTATTATATAGTTTTAAACATTTGTTAACCTCTACCAAAAAAATTGTGCTAATGTCATTTTGTGTGAATGCATCAATTGTTGCCTGAAAAAATATTTTGATGTATCAGGGTTTTTAAATGAGTATAGAAATGTTGTTACAATAATGTGTTTATTATTCTTTTAGTATTGTCTATAGACAAATCTGACATATTAAGAAGAAAATTTTTTAAAAGTGAAGAAATCATTAAAATACCTATTTAATTTGACAGATTAAATCTATCTATATATGGAAACAGTTTCAAATTATTTGATTTAATAGTTTGTTTTTGCTGCTATGTTTTTGATATTTTGCTCCTTGTAGCAGCTACATAATTTCCTAAAATTTCAATGCAACTTGGTGTACTCAGTCAAACATATGATATTTTTTATCATCATGAAATTATTGTATGCTGTACTAAATATGTAAATAAAAAAAAGGTATTACACTTAGGTTAAGAAAAGGAATGTTTTCATTTACTCTTTAACTTATTAATATTAGGTCTAATCAAATTTACCATATCACCATTAAACCTTCTGTGCCTTGCAGTTTCATATGTTACCATTATAGTTCTTGTGCAGTTCCTATAAAACTCACTACAAGAGCAGAAGAATACAAGTCACTTGTAACAGAGAAGTACTCACTGTAGGAAAAATTTGAGACTGTGTTAGGTTGGTTAAAAAATTTCAACACTTGATCACGCTTCTCTCTTATTGCGTGTGACCTGAGAAATAAAATATTAAATGGAGGAACTGGCTGTGTGTGTTCTGAGTAGTCAGAGCTGTCGAGGTTACATCATTTGTTTGTGAGGTCCCCACTAGATAAAGAGCTGTCTGTGGCAGGAAAGGTAATTATTCAGATTATTTTAATCTGCTTCATAATTATGTTTATCATGATAGAAAGAAATTGTCGTGTGTGGCCTCATAAATTACAATAAGGAACAAATAGCTATTTCCAATTTGAAAATAATGTTGATAAAAAGTTCCAGTTATAGTTTTATACATTTTAGTTACAAATTCATCAGAATATCTGCATATAATGCATTAAATATTTTATAACTCTTTTTACTTAACACAAAAATATGAATAAGCTCAGAAATAGTTTTTTATTTTTGTTTAGTATGCAACTGTCGTCTAAACCTGATTTTGTGAGCATTTCCAAGTGCCATTCCATTTAGATTGCGATAAATATAATGATGTATTGAATAGTAATTTTCATGATGTGGCAATTTTATTCTTCTTCTCTTAGCATAAGTTAAACATCTCTTTTGGCTCTGAACCATATCTTCATGAACTTTGGCAAGTTTTCAGAAGACATTGTAACTCTATTGTTTACACAAAAATAATATATTTTAATTAAAGTTTTCATACTAACAATTTGTGAATTTATGAAGCTTTTACTGAGTTAGTCTGAATGCAAGTTGAGTTTCATGTTTTAAATAAAGATACTTATTTTCATCTTATAATTTTTATGTTTCATTTAGATAACCTCTAGAACCTTCTAAATCAATATCAAAAGTTTTTTCTAAAACTTTATATTTTAGCTGTTATTTTCTCTATGCCGACACTAACTGTAGCAAACTCATCAATGTACAGTGAAATTAAAAGTTGAAAAATATAAAATGAAATGAATAATACCTTTTTTTGTCAAGAATGACTGCAGATTGTAACAGACAGTTACAGTTATTTATCCTGATAACCTCAGCTCCTAACCTTTTCACATCTGCTTTTTTAATTTAACTGCTTTGTTACTGTTCTTTTGGACTCTCTTTCTACATGCAAAGAAATAAATCACAGCAGAATGTTTCTGGTAGAACTTAGTTTAAACAAAGAGGTTACAGGCACGTGCATGCTATGAGATTGAAATATGATCAACTGAGCTTGTGAAATTAAAAATGTTTTCCATGTTTGTTATTTAACATATGAAGTTTCTGATTTTTACAATTTAGTTTACTTTTGTTAAAGATATTTAATAACAAATGAAAAATACACCAAATAAATAAGAAATTTAGCACTTAGTCTTGGTTTGGGCCTTTTGCCATCAATACTTTTTTTCTCACTGAGTTAATTGTTTAATTAATAATATACTTAACTTTCAAATATGCATTTTGGAACACAAAAAATATATATCATGTACTATAATAGAATGTTCCAAACTACTGTAATTTAAGAGGCTTTCTAACTACTAAACTATAAATAGGCTAAAATAATTCTATCAGCTGCTCAGAGTTCAACAACAACATTTACAGACAATGAAATCTAAGGGCAGCTGTCTACTGTGACCACCAAAAAGAAATAAACACAAGATTTTTGTAGACAAAAAATGTTTTATCTATTGGTTAGAAACATATTCATCCTTACATCATATAATACTATATGGTTTAGACAATTGCTTTGAAAGCTATGATAGTATTGGTGTTTCACTGGTGAGTTTGACAAATACATTGAAATCTCAGGAAGTCAAGAAGGTAGGAGATTAAAATTTTATATTCTGGCTTTTCAGTAATATACTTTGTGTTTCTAGTTGATTGGACACCCTGAAACCAATAATAACGAAGAAAGAAAATCTATAAGGGAAAATTCAGAGCACAAATGAGTCATGTGACACAGAGAAGTGAAGATTGAGAAATTATTTAAATATTTCTTTTTAAAATTATTAAATTAAACTTAGGTAATATAAAAATTTGAATTATAAACTACATTTTGATGCCAAGCTTATTGACACACATTGATAATAAGTTAATTAGATTTTGAATGTAATTCTGTAAAAGGTCATCAAATATGCATTTTGACCCTGTTATACACATGTAGAGTTAAGCAAGAGATTACGTATAACTTATTGAAACCAGATATATTATTCTCTGTCGCAACTACTGTCTCAGAACAAGATTTTGTGGTCTGAATTACTTAATACTCCTGTTTCAAGTTTAGCAGTTTCAATCACAGGAAGAGTGGGCATTAACTGACTTGTAATTACTATAGCATTGTGTATTAATTATATTATGCAAAAACCAGCCAGACCTTTTCTAGTATTTTCTGTCTTCCTTTCTAATCTTGGATTATTTTGTATTGCAGCCTGAAGTTGTAGGAAGTCTGACCAAGCTAGTAGAGTTTTGGTGTGATAGCAATAATATATCCTCACTACCACCAGTAAGCATTGTTTTCGTACTTCAGTTAGTTTAGCTCTAAAAACATATTTGTTTGTATTTTCATTAAAAAAAATCAGGATAGATTTAGCACATCAAAAAAAAATCACAGTTCTAAAAAATTTTCTACTTCAGTGTCTTGGAGGTCTGACAAATCTTGGATATTTGGATGCCAGTAGAAACCAGCTGGAAGAAATTGCTCCAGAACTTGGCTGTTGTGTTAATCTCTGTGACATCACGTTATCTACAAATAGGTTGAAAGAATTACCAAATACTTTTGGTATGTATTTAGGAGGGAAATCATAGTAAACTGGGTTTATTAAACTTTTGTGTTCTTAGGTTTTTTCTATTGGCATGATTTTATATTTATGTATGATAATATGAAATAGTGAAATTTTGTAAGCTTAAATAATTAGTTCTTTTCTGAAAATTGTAGATAATTGGCTATCTCATATATTCAGAATACTTTTCTACTATTGTCCTCTCCTGATGAAATCAAAATATGAAAAATGAAATTACTTATTTAAATTACAGTTATTAATCATTAGACCTAGTTTCATGATGCATTACTTCTAATCTTCATTATTTTAACTCTTTGGCTTTTAGCACCACTATAGAGATTGTAGCAAAACGTTTTTTGTTTTTTTTTATGCTTAGATCCTTTTGTAATGTATTAGATATTTCCTTTAAGCAACAGGCTCCAAACCTTCACCATTTCCATCTTTAGTTTAAAATAATTTAATGAAAATTGTACAACAGTAGAATAAATCGATTTATTTTAAATCAAAGTATTTATTTATGATAATTTACTTTAATAATATTTTTCAGGAAGATGCATTCTCGTGCATGTAAATGTTAACTTCTAAGTGAGTAAAGTACATGTTTACATACATATTCATGACCGTTAATTTACACCTATGCTTATAACTATACCTATATAAAGTAATCTGTTTGAAACCACATTATCTGTATGTAATAAGCTGTTTTAAACATGGCAACAAATATTTGTATTTTTCTATTAAGTACTTTAAGATGCTTTTCAGTTTTGACACTTAGTTTTTTCAGGTAACTTAAAGAATGTTACCATATTAAGGTTGGATGAAAACTGTCTGTCAGCATTACCTGAAAGCATTGGGAAGTAAGTACTGAGTTGAAAGTAGTCACCTACTAATTTGCCATAATTTACTGTATATCTCATGCTAATGCATTTTTTAATAATTTAAAACTTAAGGTTCAACCTGTTACAATGTGTTGTGTCCTTGTGTAGTATTGTTTGTTTTTTATACTCTGGCTCTAACTTGAAGTTTCATTGGCTTATTACTGTAACTTGCGTATAGAAACTCTCAGTTTGTAGTATTCTATGAGTGTTATCAAAAAATCAGCAAAACGCATTTCCTTACATCTGGAAAAAATCCAGTTAATTCTATACCCTTACTCCTTAAAAAACAGTAAGTGCATTCTTTTTTTTCTCTAAAAGTCCCATTCTTATATTTTTAAAAATGATAAGTCCCATTCTTATATCTCTAAAAATGATAAGTCCCATTCTTATATCTCTAAAAATGATAAGTCCCATTCTTATATATATCTAAAAATGATAAGTCCCATTCTTATAGATATGTAAAAATGATAAGTCCCATTCTTATATATATATCTAAAAATGATAAGTCCCATTCTTATATATATCTAAAAATCATAAGTCCCATTCCATGCACACAGAAAGACACAACATGCAGGATGTAAGGAAATTATATTAATATTTATTTCTGAATATTATCAAACTTCCTGTTGGTTCTATGACAGGCTGCCATGACATCTCCTGGTTTAATGTAGTTACAGTAGTCTTTCTAACAGAGGTTCAAGGGTCTTGTCTGAAACACAAGTAAACAATTCTTTCTCCTATCACAAACATAGGAAGTTTAGAATGAGACTATGCTATAGAGGTGTAAATATCTGTCTGTCACACTCTGTATCTCATGAATGGTTAATTGTTAAAATAAAATATACATAAAAATTTTTATTTCCAAGAGTACATTAAAGAAAAATTACTCATTTTTTGCAATTCCTAAAATCTGATATTGACATTCATCCACCAACCTTCATAGGTGCTGAATGGACAATTTGAAAAAAACTTATTAAGTACAAAAATATTTCTTTTTGTGAGGGAATTTCACAAGAAAAACTGGTCTTCTTCCATCAATTGATGAAAATAGTTTCAAAGTTAAAAAAAGGACTTTTTTTTATGCCTTTGATGATTTGTTTCGTACAATAATTTCAGATTGGAATACAGTCTCATTGAGAATATTTGTTAATTTGATATACACGTGCATAATTTATAAATAAAAAAGTTATTGAAGCCTTATACATCTGTTACAGTAAACAAGTTGTATTTATTGTAATTACCTTTCCACCATTGACTTCATATTGAATTGTAGCTTCAGGTGAGGGCTTTGACATCCATATCTTCTCCCTAATTTCAAAAATTTAATTTCATTTGAAATGTGAGTCATGCCATTAGAGATGAAATCTGAAAGCAATGTGTTTCCATTTAAAATACATTTTATCATTCACACTTTCCACTTTGTACTGTAGTTTTAATTTTATGGCTTAGGAGATGCTATTTGCTTTTAATCTCATTGTTTGAGTGTAAATAATATATATATATATATAATTTTTACATGTTTTTGTAAATGTTATTTAGATTGTACATATTCTGATATTTATTCAATTTAATCTCAGCTTATCTCAACTTGAAGAATTGATTGTGAGTTACAATGACTTGGAATCATTGCCTACTAGTATAGGACTTCTAAGGAATCTACATACATTAATAGCTGATGAAAACTTAATAGAGGAACTTCCCCCTGAGGTATGATCTAGAAAATAAACTGCTTATTTTTGGTGTCCATCATAAAAGAGTGTTAGAATAATGTGTTACTTTTCCTCTTATCTTCTGTATTACAAATATTTTTTATTCGGGAAATTAAGCAGTCTATAATGTCACATATCAGAGTTGAAGTTTATCTTTTTCTATTTTAATATAAGATTATTGCAGATATTAGTTTTGTGTAGAATATCTTGTTTAAGACTTCTGATGATTAGTATTGTATACTATTTATCATTTCTGCATTTTGCAAGTTTAAACATTTACAGTGCTGTTATGAATTATTAACCCTATTGCCACGGATATCTTTACTGTGCATGACACAAGGTTTTTGGGTCTTACATTCAAAATTTAATTAAACTACTTTTTGTTTATGTTAAAGCAATTAGTATAGCATAAAATCTTAGCTAATAATCTATATTTTAATAGTATGTAAGTTTTAAGTTCATAATTTTATAAGCCAATATTTTAAAAAATCCTGAATTTCTCTTAGTGTGACACACGTGACACATTTTCTCTAGGCATCTTCTCTTCTATATTTTATCCACCACCCCTCCAGTAAATATGAAATTAAATGTAAATTACTCACTACAAATTTGTCATTACTCAGACAAACCATAATTTTTGTAGCTTTCAATTTTTTTAGGTTACAGAGCTATCAAGTAGAAAATCAGACCCCTCCTGCCACACCTACTTGTCACATCCTCTCTTTCAGGATTTGTTAATAGTTCTCTCTCTTACATTTAATTATATATTACCTATAACCAATAGGTTTTCATCTATCAAATGACTTATTATATTACATTGTGTTCAGAATAGATAATCATCAATGTCACTTGTAGTACAGGCTTCTTTCCCATGGGAATGGTAACGACTAGATTGGATGAATTTGTAACGGCTCTTGTCGCACAGTTAGAAAGTCAGAAAAATTGTGGTTGTTAGATGAAATTTTCTGCTTTTTTACATGTTATTGTTCTATGTTCTTTGATGCATTATTTTCATTAAATAAAAATTATTTAATGTACAACTACCATCAGTATATAAAAAAAAAAAAGTAGGGTTAAGTGTCATAGATGGCCAAAAAAAAAGAATACTTGGGTAAATACTTTATTTCTTGTTTTTCATGTTTATTCTTTATTTATTGTTATAAAAGTAAATAAAGTGTAAAAATAGGGATCTCGTTAGTTTAGTTAAGGTTAGATTAGGTAAAATAAATGATAATGATATTTCATGAGGCACACACTTGAGCAACTCATTGTAACTCGAGGGTAAGGTAATTTGATAGTGTAACATGAGCTGCACATTCCCCAAGTGATTTACAACTTGTAATAACATGAATAGTAGTTAGACACGGTACAAAGGACAATAAAGCAATAAAATTTAATTATACATAGATGTATACTGTTATGAGTTTAAAGCTAATTTACATTTATTACGATTTTTTTTTTTAGGTGGTCATGAAGTCGGTCAAATTAACCAAGTGGGTATAGAGTTAGGGTAGAGAAATAACGGATAAAATATAATGTTTTACTGAAAACAAACATTTGAAGTTTATTTCGGAGGTTTTAGAAATTACACAAATGAAATTTGAGATTTTTTGAGATGAAGAAAAATATTTTTAATCTTAACATGAAAATCAATTTGCACACAGACTATTCAAAACAAATACTTCACTAAAAAATATGATTTTTTTATATGAAAAACTTATAATGTTTACTGAAAGACTTTCTCATTTTGTGAAGATATACACACACTATATTAAAAGCTAGTAGTATCAAATCTATAAAGACTTTGAATGAGTACAAAGAGGTCATGTGGTCGATCAAATTGACCGAGCCCATGTTGAGAGAGTTAAGGGATTTTTATTGCTGCAGACTTTAGGGATATAGGTAGAGCATATGAAACTTTCTCAAACCAGCTAGGACCAATCCTAGAATTCCTAAAAATGTTACAATTTTTACATAATGTATATGAATTTTGATATTCTTAATATATATATATATAAGATGTGTATCAGATTTTTATTTATCAACACAGGTGGGAAGCTGTGTAAGACTGAGTATCTTGTCTCTGAGAGACAACCGATTAACTTATGTTCCTGATGAGCTAGGACATTTAGCCTCCCTAAAAGTTTTGAGTCTGTCTGGCAACATGCTTCAGTTTCTTCCCTTCAGCGTCGCAAAGCTTCCAAAACTGCAAGCCCTGTGGCTTTCTGAGAATCAGGTATACAGTCAAGTTTTTGATGATTTTAGCATTAGTTTAGCTATATATAGTTTTAACTGGTTAATCAAATGATAATTAAGCAGATAAGATCCTCTGAATATATATATATGTGTGTGTGTGAGTATACTGAGAGAGATTTTTTAACTCATTTTTGCCAGTTTCTACATTATGTGAATATATATTTTTGTATTATTTTTATTTTTTATTCCTGGTCAAGTTTTTGAATACTGCCAAAATGTATCTTCAAGCTAGACTAACCACAGAGCATAACAATCTTCCTGTCATGTTGTGATTACTTCAGTTAAGTCCAACATTTCATCAATAATACATCATGCAAACAGAAGTTATGTGTATAATACTTATGTTTTTATGACAAAATCTCAACAACTCTGTATATGTTTTACTTGTATAAAGAGAACTTTGTAAATTTACTTTTGGATCTAGAGGTTGAAAAAAATATATATACACATAAAATATTCAAAAAAATATTCATTGAGTTTGTTTTTTTTATCCAGAATAGAGTAGTTCCATACAGCTTTTTACAGCAATAACAACTGAAAACTACCAGAAGAAGAAAAGTTAAACACTTCCTTAACTGATAGACACAAGAAACTGAATTAATACAGATCCTTTGACTTGTTGATCTTGAATTGAACAAGAATATTTTTTTTAATATGTGTAACAAGCCAACTTTTCAAAGAATCTGGAAGTGAAAGAATTTTGTTTCTTCTACTAAAGTTGTGGCTTCAAAGATACTTATGAAACAAATACATGAAACTGGACAAAACAGCATTTTATGCTGCTGCATAGTTCTGTAGAGTAGAAAGTATTGTTAAAACAGCCAAGTGTCATCTCCTCAGCAGATACTCTTGAACTTGTAAGATTACAATAAACTGTAGAACATTAATAATTTAAGTTACAAGATGCTGAAATCACCACCTCCCACACAAGATAATGAAAACAAACCCACACCATCTTCATTTACAAATTAATTAAGATTTTCTCAAAATATGCTACATCATAAAACTGCATAATGTTGTGCTGCCCAACTTAATGGTTTAGTAAGGGTACATAAACTGAATTTTTGTAGGCTAGTAGCGGTAATCATCTCAACTCTCCATAGTAAAGAACTTGTAAAGTATTATTTTCTTTCTTTTAGAATAGTATAGAACTATTTTATTTAACCAGTTTTATACATGATGTTGTTTTTCCAACCATAACTCCTCTACCCATTATAAGTAAAAGACCAGTACTTTACAATATGAATTCCAAAATATACTTACCTCCTCTCGCACTTACAGCTATTACTTGACTGACAGGGTTTCTTCCATTATTCCATGTCCTCCCCATAATATCTGGGACAATGAAACTTACCTTGCCTGAACAGGCTGAACTAACCTGATCAGTCATAAAAGGAATCATCTCAAATATGTACAAATGAACCTCCATAATTTGTTGCCAAATAAATCTGCTTTGACTAATTTGAGAACCTAAAAATTATTTTTCACTCTACTGGATATCCAGCTATATTTGCCATAGAAAAAACATCTTAGGTTCATAAATCATACCCAGATTGTTCATCAGCATTTCTTTTATATCACAAGTTAGGTACAAAGATTTTTCTAGATGCTAAAAACCCATACTCATTTTGCAGTAGTTAAATACTAAAAATTTTATGAGAGTAAAACAATTAATTGAAAGACATCATAGCAAAGATGTATAGCTATATATACATTGCTAAAGCAAAAAAATTGGAAGTTTAGAGAAATAAATGAAAGTTTTTTTGTGACTTAGTTGTACAGCTTGGATACCACTGATAAATAGAGTAGTTTCTTAGAAGAAAACAACTCTTTGTTTTACTGTTAATTAAATGTTCAGTCAATTTACTCTGCTTCACAGGTATACGGTACTATCTGCTACTTAGAATTTCACATGCTAATGAAGGCAAATACAAATATATCAAAACAGTGCCCCAAATTTAACCTTATCAAATTCAACTCTCATTAAATAACTTTTATAATTTTAGTTAGTCTTTAGGTTGTTTTTCATTCTTTCCCCAGACAAAGCCATTGGTTCCTCTTCAGTCGGATATTGATCCAGACACAGGTCAGCGCATTCTTACCTGTTTTCTTTTGCCACAAGTTCCACTGGAAGAACCTAGAGGTAAATCTATCTGTACACCTGAGAATCATTTTTTATTATGATGATACTTACTATTTTATGTATTGTTTTGTGTCAGTTAAAGCACTACAATATATGAGGATAAAAATCTCATTTCGGTTTTAACCTATATTAGAAATAATTTAGTTTGACACATTTCATATCAAGTTTATTGGGTATTGTGTTAAAGAAAGTTATTTGATATTTATAACTTTGTATGTATACCTGTACCATATTACCAAAATGTTGGAACATCACAAGACACCAAATGATCCAATACCTTGCATTAAAAGCTGAGATAAAAATATTATGAACTATAGTCTATCTGCTAAATTCAGTAGCATCAGATTCTATGTATATAATAGAATTCTATGCATGCAGTGGATTACTTGCTTACACTTCTGTTGAGGAGGCAAGACTAGTTTTAAACTGGCTTTCCAATTGCTTTCCAGGTTTTTAGAACATTACCACAGTAATGTTACTATGAATAGGATATCTTAAATATTTTGGACATTGATATCACCCATTTTGCATTCAATAACCATGTTTAACTCTTTCTATATGGGTACCCTTTTCTGTGTATGTCACAAGTTTTACTGTGTTACATTCAAAACTTAATTAAAATACTTCATTATCAATGTATATGAATAAACTTGGCATCAAAATGTAGTTAATAAACCAAATTTTAATATTATTTAAATTTTAAGTTCTTAATTTTATAAGGAAATATTTTAAAAACACATTTGCAATCTCCCCTTCTATTAGAACTGTGATGTTTGCTATCTGTGTCTTCCCTCTTCTCTAATTTATTTATCACCCCTGTACTGAGAAGTACAGAATTTAATGTAAGTTACTCATTATAATATAGTTATTGCTCAAGCAAAGCATATGTTTACAGCCTTCAATCTTTTTGGTTTCAGAGCCATAAACTAGAGTATGAAACCCCTCCTGCCACACCCACTTGTCACACCCTCTCTTTTGCAAATTGCTAATAGTTCTCTCTGGCACTATATTATTTATAATCACTAGAAAGCCAGAGTTATATTATGCATTATATAAGTTTGTTTTCTGTACAGACAATTATCTATTTCACTTCCAGTTCAAACTTTATTCACACAGGAAACATGTCAGTGATCTTAGCTGAATTTTTAATGGTTCTTATCGCATAGTTAGAAAACCAGAGAAATTATGATAATTATAGGACATTGTCTGTCTTTTTCTTTTTTTATTCTGTATTCTTAAGTGCATTATTTAAGTTAATAAAAAATTCTTTAATGCAGTAGCATCATTATTATAATAAAAGTAGAGTGAAGTTTCATTGACAGTGAACAGCAAACAAAAAGAAGACCCAGTTAAGTACTATATTTATCGTTTTTCATGTATATTCTTTATTTATTATCGTAAAAGTAACTAAAATGTAAAAATTACAATTTTATTAGGTAAGATAAAGAAAAAATATTAAAATATTTTCATGAGATATGCTTGTGAGTAGCCCGTGCATTACATTACTCGATAGGATAACATGAGCTGCTCATTTGCCGAGTGATTTACAACTTGTGTGGTGGTATTATTAATCAGACAATAAAACAATAAAATTTAAGTAGCAACAGATGTATACTGTTACAAGCTTTAAGCTATTTAGGATAAACAAATGTAGATTCATGTTACAATTTAAAGTCATACAAGAAAGAAAAAAAGGCTAATTTAATTTCATATTTTTTTATGGTGGTTACGAGGTCGGACAAATTGTCTGTCATCGTATAGAGTTAGGGTAGAGAAAATAACAGACAAAATATAAAGTTTCACTGAAAAAAAAATTTCAAATTTATTTAATAGGTTTTAAAAATTTGACAATTTTCAGATGAAGAAAAGTATTTTTAATCTTAATATAGAAATCACTTTGCACTCAGAGCAGTCAACGCATTGACTCAATATATTCACAGAGAAGTTTTTAGTTAAAATACTTAATTAAAATGTGACAGTCAATCCCACTATTCATTGGTGAAAGAGTAGCCCAAGAGTTGGCAGTTAGTGATGATGGCTGGATGCCTTCCCTCTAGTCTTGCACTGCTAGACTAGGGACGGCTAGCGCATATAGCTGGGTAGCTTTGTACGAAATTCAAATCAAATAAAACTACTCCAATGGGTACAAGGTACACAATTAAAATAAAAAAGTTAAAAGAAACATATGTGAAAAGATTAACATTTGAAACTGTTAAGATAAGTAACTTAGAGCATTCTGATCAACACTGCAGTCAATGTCAAGGAAAAAATGGCATTATTCATTTTATTTCTGGTTTTTAAATTTTTCATTTAGGGTAGATGAAATAAGATATCAAATATAAAGCTTTACTGAAAAGAAACATTTTTTTATTATTATTTACTAGGTTTTAGAGGTTATGCAAATGCAATATTAAAACTGTAAGGTTAAAAGAAGAATTTGTATTCTTACCATTGAAATCACCTTTCACTCATACTAACTCGGTAAAGGCTTTGAAAATTCACAGATAAATCTTGTGTAGAAATACTTTATTAGAAAATCTGTTTTTGTGTACAACAGACTTTTAATGTTGCCAAATTTTGTGAAGATACATTTTGTAAATTCAACATTATAATATGTATAGTTTCACAGTTTGAAGGTTGATCAAATTGACCAACTTTGTTCTTCTGAGGTTAATAGCACTTAGCATATCTGGCTGTAGTAGCTGCTGACTGTTTTAAATTGCATACAGCAACATATCATATTAATTGTATTACTATTTAAATTCAGTGGGTAAAAATCAAAATATGAGTATGTTTAGTAATAGTGTATTTGACCAACTTTAAGAATTATTAATGAATCCTTTATAAACTAAAATATTAAAAAATAATAATAATAATAAAGTTCATCTAATTTCTGAATGAAATAAGAAACAAAAGATCAAAATATTTTTCTTTAAATGTAGACCCTAACTTCTGAGTCATAAATTAAACTTTAAGGAAAGTTATAAAGAAAGAATAAATTTTTGTCACAATTCTTTAATTCCTTTAAATCAGTATTTTTTTAACCAAGTAAATAACTGTGAAAATAGATAAAGAGCTTCAACTTTACTACAGGTCATTTTATTAAGATACATCAAAAATTAAAGAGACATGCTGTTTTATGGATGGTAAATTGTATAGGCTTTTTATTTTTTGAAGTCAAAAGTCTTGTCTTCAGCTTATCATTACACATGACTTAGATATTTTTACTGACAGTCAAATATTTTGACCAGAAAAAAAAAAATTTACAGAACAAACCAGCTACTTTTATTACCTTAACCATTTTTTAACTTCACACACCAACAACAAGAGAGAGAACGGTTTCATCTATTAATAAAGTATTAATGTAACAATCAAACTGAGGGTGTGTTAGACTTATATGGTCCTTCAATACAAGAGCAACAATGCACATGACACATCCTAGTATAGGATACACTAAAGCATTGATTTCATCAGCCTTGGTATTGACAAGGGGATATCATACTTTGAATGCTAAAACTAGTTATTATGCTAAAAAAAGCAGTTAAGAAATACAAGGTAACAACAGTGTAGGTTATCCAGTCAGCAGTTTAAGATTGCATTTAATATTTGTATGAAAAAAATTCCATTTACAAACATTGTTGCTACACAGGTACATAGGCTTTTTGAGAATGCTTGTTTACTATAAAAACTGAGAGGTAATTTTTGTTTCTTCCTGTTAGATCATGGAGGTGAAAGAGAAGGTATCGACATTGATAAAGAAGCAAGGCAACAGATTAAATTTGCTTCTGACATAACAGTAGAACAGCCTGTGAGTTTGTGTATTTTTAAGTTTTGTATAAAATGTGTGTTTCAAATTACGTTTCTGCTATATTATTATAACAGTTGGATATCATTTTATTGATGAAAATGGGCTTTAAAATGAAACCAACAGTGTAAAGGTACAGCATACAGAAGCTATATATATTTTATGTATTATGCTTTAGTTTTGTTGGTATTATGGCTAGTATAAAACTAGATAGTAACATTTTTGCTTTGTTTTAATTTTTGAGTTTCTCTTTGTCATTTAATTATTTTCATATTTAACCTTCTCATACAGCAACAGTGAAATATAGCTACATGTTTAGAAGTACAGGTTTTATCTATAGTTTTTTTAAATAAATTATTTATATATTTTGTTCTCACTATAATTATGTAGTGTTTCAATTTGGTTATGCATGAGTTCATTATTGTTTTCTCATGTGATGTTAAAGGGTAAATTAGTGCGAGCTCCTACACCTTATCCTAAGGAATTGAAGGCCCATGCTAAACATGCTCGTAACTACGCTTTGAAACTCAAAGAAGGGAGCAGAGAAGGATCAGATGAACCTGTTGTGGCAAATGAAGTAAGTAAGAACTTACAGCTGGTAAAAGTTAAAAAAAAGAGGTCCGTTTGTTTTTGATTTCTCTTCTTGCATCTGAGTGCTTGAGTTTAAGATTAACAATTACAGTGAAAGTTCAATATATATATTTATCCATAACTAATCTACCTGATTTGTGTTTACATGTAGGCAATGTGTCAAGAGCTATATCTTCAGAATGTAAAGAAGTAACAATTTTTCTTAATTAATCCATTCTGTGGGAATAATGTAAAATCTTATTGTAAATTTCATTATTTTATTAACTGGAACATGGAAATTTTATTTATTTTCCAAAAAATTAATAAGATTTGTCACTATCTTGCATGAACAACTTTTTACTTTTGAGTTTTCCTATTTTCCTATTTATTTACTGTATTCACATAAAATAAAATATTATTAGATAGAATTTAGATTTTCAGAAATCCTTATGAAAGCAATGTGCTAACTTTTAACACTGGGCATGAATAAAACTTGCTTAATTAGATATTAGTATTGTTATGAAGCTTAACTCTGTGAGTATTTGGTGAGTAGATCTAGTGAGTGTCTTGAGTGTTTATACACATCTTTAGACTACTAAACAAAATTAATTAGGCTTATACATGTATTGCTATGAAAATATTCATTGGGTTATGTGCACTGTATATAGTGTTAGATGAAATCATATTGTTTGAAGGTTTTTGTTGTTTGAAAATAATTTTTTCATACATCCCTACTAATGTTTTGTTTGTTGAGAATCTAAGACTTGTATACCTAATACAGTAGTATGTCACTGTATTTTTGAATCATGACACTGATGTGACATGTTTTGAATCTAGGTACTCTGATTTACAGCAAATTTCCAATCATTCAACAGTGCAATACCCCAAGGTAATACATTTGTGGCAATAGAAAACCTGTCATGACCCTTCAAAGAAATGATATTCATTATATGTATGGTAGTACTTAATAGTAAGGATCTATAAGGATTCCAAGTAATTCATGCATCAAAAAACCACTGACCATTCAAAGAATTGGTTACGATATATTATATGCATATATATATACTAATAATATGCTAAAAGGTTGATAACATTTCTGGTATAAAAATTCAAACATTTCTAAAACAGCAACTTTCTCATCTACTACCTACTATCTGATCGTGTCAGTGGGGCTAATGCCTAGATGGCTCAGACTATCATTACACAATTTCTTGAGCTTGCTTGACTGGTTTGTGGGTATCCACTTTTGATATTCCAATAAAAATCCATATGTATACAGGTATAATATAAATGGTAGACATATGATGCATGTATTTAAATATATTTTCAACCCAGTGGATGGCCCTACATATCAATGGATAGACACGTAACAGTTTCTAAAGGTAAAGTATATACTTTATACAGGTATAATTATTAAAATGAAGTGGGTATCCTGCTACAAAAAGTAATGAAACAAGATTTAAAACCACAATCACAAATATGTGAAATTTAATCCCTACTTTGGCAGCTTTATACACTTATCGGTAGGCCAAAGTAATGATTAGATTTTATGAATTTGTGATTATGGTTTTAAGTCTTGTTTCTTTACTTTTTATAGCAGGATCCCTACTTCATTTTAATACTGTTGTCACATTTATAATGTGATAGTTTCGGCATGATGACCACAATGTCACTTTTGGCCAACATTTGAAAGAACAGTGTGGTCAACGAAGTTTTTTTATAGTATACTAGAAATAGAAGAAGGGGTTATTACGCAATAGAATATGTTTATATTTATAAATTTGTTTAAGTAACGTAGCTTTATAATACTTTTCTCGTTCATATGCTGTGTCAAATTAAAACATATTTGTGTTAAGAGAAAACAAGAATAGGAAACTATAATACAAGATTATTTTATCTATTCATAAGTGTTGATTAAGGTTCTCAAATTTTACATAAAAATACTTTATTTGTTTGTTGTTAAGCACAAAGCTACATAATGGGCTATCTATGTTGTACTCACTGTGGGTATCAAAATCCGGTTTTTTGCGTTATAAGCCTTCAGACTTACCGCTAAGCCTCTGGGGTGCTCATCCAGAAATAATACATAGAAACAATGAAAAAAAGTATTGGAAGATCCATTGCAATATTGGCGTAGCAGAAATCACTACCAATTTCAACTTTTCATAACTAGTATGGAATGTAGCTTTAGTCTGGTATATTGAAATAATATTTCAAAATGTTTGTTCAGGTGTTGTTTAAACATGTATTGAACTTTTAACTAAAGAAAGTCTATCTATTATAAATGAGCTCCCAACTTTAAATAATAACACAATTTTGTACAAATTGTTATGAAATGTTTTTTGTCTTGTTTTTAGTTTGAACATCTTATTTGAAATATTCGGTGACGTAGGTAATCCATGAATTATGGAATACCTGTCTTGGATCCTTCATCTGGCTCAAAATGCAATTATTCCTGTTCTTGTCCTGTGTGGACGTGTTTGGAAATCCTTCCACTGCATCGCGGCAGTCACAACAGAATCTAAGGCCAGCCAGTTTTATAAACACACGCACACACAATATTGTATATAGGAATTATTTATTTGTTCTCTTATGTTTATTCGATTTTGCTTTTTTTCTGTTTTTGTTCGATTTATTATTTACATAAAATTTAAGAGTTTCCTATTTGGACATTAGTATACCTGAATACTACAACACCACAAAGGACGAAAAGAAACGAATTGGAAAGTCTATTCGAATAACTCGGAGTTCTTCGTTATTTCTCACGCAGACATACGGCGTAAAGTTTCAAACTCACCACTAGGGGGCGCTAAAAGCAAGAAACCATTCAACACAGATGTTTGTGAACTTCACTAGTGAATTAAAATTACCTCTTTTCACGCGGATGTCCCGAATAAAAAAACAACAGAATGTATTGCATATAATAAGCATTATGAAACTGTAATCAGTTATGATTAATATATACTTTGAACAAAACGGTAAAGTGCTAATGATTAATTTATGAATTCAAGTTTTCCTACATTTGTTGAAGAAACAGTAAATAGTTGATAATATTTTATGCAAAATATATATATATACTACAGAGCGCGAGACACGAAATTCATAAATAACGATGATTTGGTATTTTTTATCAAATTATGTGAAAGTTAGATTACAAATTGTACCCATGGAATTAAAAATAAAATCATTTTAATATTAAATAAAAACTGGATAAACTAATTTATCATTTGTACCTGTTCATTGAAATGAAAAATTGATATATATACATATAGATATTTACATATGTTTTAATAGCAGATGGCCTTGTGTAAACATGCTGGAGATGACTTTAAGCAATTTGTCTCGGAAATAAAGGAGAAATTAAACATACAATTCTCTCTTTAGAAATGTAATCCTATGTGAATTTTAGATTGATATTACCCTATTTTCACGTACGATTATTATAACAAAAGTTGCGAAATCAACAACATTATTAATTTACTTGTTGACTTTCGCCCAAAGCTACTGAAAGGCTGTCTACGCCAGTCGTCCCTAATTTTGAAATGATAGACTAGAGATAAGGCAGGTAGTCAATACTAACCACCGCCAACTTTTGGATTATTCTCTACTAACGAAAATAGGATTGACCAACCCATTATAACCCTCCACGGCTGATAGGACGAGCTGTTCGGCGATAGGTTTCAATCCCGCGACCCGCAGATTAGAAGTCGAGTGCTCGAATCACCATGCCAGTATTAATATCAGTATCAGCAGTAGTTATAATATAAATAGAACAACAAATCGAAAGTTATACCATAAACGGTATTAGCAAGTAGAGTTTTGGCTTTAGTGGACCACTCCTGTCTGTTCTAGAATGGGTCGACGTTTCAGCTTTTATACTGAGGCCTTCTTCATTAAAATCCAAAACTCTACTGGGTATACACCGCTTAAAATACCGTTGGAACAATAAATGTAGAAGTAGTAGGGACAGTAAGAATAATTTAGTTACAAGCAGTAGCAGTATAAACAGAGATTGCAACTATAACACTTGTGTTGGCAGTTAGATACGTGGTAGCAGTTCGAGCTGTGGTAATAGTGTTGTATGCATCCCTGGTACTACAGAGTCCTCTGATACGTCCGTTTAGTCTGCTGTTTGTATATGGTGTCTTTTTGGTAAACAAAGACATCGGAGCTCTACAATTCATAGAAAGAGTGTGCAGCAAACGTATGTAACTTTTGGCCAAACAACACACGAACAAATGAAAATTTGAGGTAGATTGATAAACGTTTCTCGCGATTTTAGGCCATTACAGTTTGGTATTTTCCATTTGGTTCTGCGAGTCGGAAAGGACATTATGATCGATCTTGATGTCACTCTTTGAGATTAGTTTTGGCGAAAGGTACGATAAAAAAATTATTGTTTATCTCTCAGTCTATATACTGACAAATAAATGGTAGGAGATCATAAAACGATTATTTTAAGACTGATAAATCAGCAAAGCCATATATTCGAAGGAACGGCACTGACCACTCTAGATGATACGTTAGCCAACAGACGGAATTATGAAATAAAAGTTTAGAATGTCCATCTCAAAATTGTATTTTTGTTTCTTTAAATTATATTCCTTGAAAATATTTATGAGACGAATTTGTATGTTATAAGGTAATACTGAAAACAGAGTTTTTAATGTTGCTGGAAATATTGTAGCTTACGTGACTATCGAAATTAATGTTTGTACTTAATTTGAAGATTTTAGAAACGGGTTATCAGTTGACAGTATGGTTTTTGACCACAAAGACAACATGCATAAAAAAGCTAGAGATTAAAATAGTTTACTCTTCATCATTTCGTACTCTCTGCGTTTTTTTCTACATCAAGAGATCACAAGGAGAACCGAGTAATATATTTTACATATATATTCATATTGAAGTTTGACTAAATGAAGTATTCTCGAATTTTGTAAGTCTTTTTTATAACCATTTTTTTTGTCATCACGTAAAAGAATTATACTGTTTTAATTCTCTGATCATAAATTTAGTTTGTTGTTTGAAACACAGCTATACAATGAGCTAAGTATCCCAGGCCCCCGCAGGGACCGTAGTTTAGCATTATAAACCCTTAAGTTTACCGCTTAGCCACTGAGATCGTGTAAAAAATAATATAAAAACGGAGACTTTTCTATAAAGGATTATTTATTCTCTAACAAAAAAACTCTGTAAAACACTGCGAGTTTTTAAATTCTACTATAACTGTAAATATAAAAGCATTCTTTAAAGCTGCAAGTCATAGTTGAAATAATTTTACAAATTTATCTCTTACCAGTAGAGAGATCCTGCCATTGATAAACAAGTTATTAAAATGACAGCTATTAATCTTTAAAAAAGTGCTTAATACGTGTCTACTCACCAAATCCTTGCTGAATAGGAAGCGATTAGATGGTCTACTAATATAACGTGAAGGTTATTATGAGTTATATATATAGAACGCATCTAAGAAAGAGGAGAAACCTGAGCTCTCTTTCTTTCTGTCTTTAACAATGTCTGCTTAAACGTAGAATACAAAACAGAAGTTATGACGTTGATGGATTTCCTTTGATCCAGTTTCTCCTCACGAAATCATATTTGCCTACATTTAAAACATTATGATGATAAATCAAGACACAGATACATATTTGTCATTATATATGCGTAGAATACAGATGGCTGAGCCTATTGCCATTGAAATAAACTTAATACATATATAAACAGAAAGGTACTTTTTAGGATATTTCATGAATACGGACACTTCCTATAAAGAAGAGTGTATGATATTCTGCTAACATGAACATTTACTGCTACGAAGTAGGAAGAATATCTTATAAGTATGGATATTGACAAAATACGTACGATATCTTACAGATATGAACATTTACTTTGGTGAACAACGCAACAAATCTTATTGGTATAGATATTAGCTCTGGCGAAAACTTGCAATAGAAAGGCTATTAGCTCTGAAGATCTATTTCAGGGTATGCCTTTTCTTTGAAAATTTAACGTGGCAAAATACTCTTTGGAATTTATCACTATTATGAATAACTACCGGGTGGATGTATATATTTTCAACTAACTATAAATGAGTAACATGTTGGCAAGAGATAAAATTCACGAGAAGCAGAAAGCTCTGAGAGACAGTCAATGTCCACACAAACTACCAGACGTATGTTGGACACTTTCGCCAAAAGTCTGAAAAAGTATATCAGCAGTGCGAGCGCACTTTAGAGAATGCAAAATTTTTTCTTAAATTTTTACATATTTTGAGGCTACAAAGTTCCAGCTGTACAGGAACTACCGAAACAAGGCTATAAACGCTATGTTCACATTTAGATAGAACTTATACTTGCGGAAAACAATGCAATCTTTCCTGGACATCATGCCTGGGCGAGAAAATTGGCACAATTCTTACTTATTGGGATTAGTAAACCTTGATTTCAAGTTAATATATAGATGGGGATAAACCAAAGACGAACAAGGGTTCATTTCTTTTGGGATACTGCAGTAGTAGAGACAATCAATGGTAACAAAAACTGCTACACTATTTATTCAAGGTACTCTCTTCCTCATACACCCAGGGTGCGAATATCTACTCTCTAGCCACTATTCAGTATACATCGGGGTATGAGTATCTAATTTATACCCACTCTTCATCATACAACAGTGTGAATATTTACTCTAATCACCTTTTAGTATACGTCTAACTACTTTTAGCACTTATCAGGGTGTGAATATGTACTTTTACAAACTGCTTTTTGGAAAATAATAATGAGTAAATGTCTAATATGAAAAAATATTCTTCAGGACGTGTTAAAGAAACTGACTATATTTTGAATAAATATGCATCAAGTACGATTATCTGCTCTGACTATGTACATTTTAAGAAGTGTGAAGGTGTGAATATTTACACTGTATTAATACAGTTCATAGCGTATCTCGTTGATGAAACTGATTTTGACTAAGTACTCTCAGGCTGCGTAAGGGTGTGAATATATGTTCTAAGTACTTTACATGTGCTCCAACCTATCAATATCTAGAATGCCGTGTCTAGTTAGGAATACCACTCCCACAAAGTGGTATAATTACTTTGAATATTTCAGAATACTTCAAGCTGTGAGAATAAACTTTAAGTACTCTTCAGGAGGATGCTTAGAGTATGACTTCTGAACAAGTATTCTTAAGGATACTTCAAGGTGTGAGAATAAACTCTAACTAAGTAATTTTCAGAAGGATTCTGAGTATACATTCTAACTAAGTACTCTTAAGGATGCTTCCAGCGTGAATATGAATTTTGAACAAGAAATCTTAAGGATACTTTAAGGGGTAAGTATAAATTATGGCACGATGCTTCAAGGTGAAAAAATTT